TCTTTTGCTGATGCCACACTGGGCTGCTCCCCTAGCACATAGTAGGTCCCACTACAACCTTCTCTCTCATGGCTCATCTGATCAGACATTACCAAGGTCATAGACTCAATGTTGAGTGTGACAGCAAAGGAGCTAAGGGGGAAATTTGAGAGCATTTGATCTCTTCAGAAAATGGAGTGTTTAAAATGGTTATTTTACAATTAAAGCATGTGTACTGCTTACCTAGACTAAGTGATAGTCAGATTATATTTTGTATTAGTATGAAAAAGTCCATTTGAAGCCCAGTGCCATACACAATGTACATATGCTAATAAAAAGATTGCTTAAAAGAGCTAAACAGTAGAAGAATAATTAAGCCTATCAATAAATGAACAGATGAACTGAAGAGACAATTCACAAGTGCACAACATATACAAAAAAATGTTCACCATCCTCAGCCATAGGGAAATGCAAAACTATGCTGTTTCCATCTTACACCAGTAAGAAAACTGTCATCAAGAAAAAATTTAAATCCTGGCAAGGATACAGGGAAAGCAGAAACTTTACACACTATTGGTGGGTATGTAAATATTATAGTCACTATGGAAATACATATGGCAATTCTTCTAAACCCTAAAAATAGAACTGCATATAATCTAGTTATACTTCTGCCAGGTATATACCAAAGGATTCAGCCATCTGCTGCAGCATTCTCCACCATAGCCAAGACAAGGAATGAACCCAGGTGCCCATCCAGATGAATAAAAGCCACTGGTACACACACTTCCCTAAGAAGAATGAGATCATGTCTTCAAAAAAGGGATGGAGCTAGAGAACACCCTATATGAGAAACACCATGAGAATAAATACCATATATTATCTCTCATGTGTGGAGCTGCATAGCAACAAAGAGACTTGAAAGTAAAAGGGGGTGAACAGTGCATGTACTGCTTACCTAGACTAAGTGATGGTCAAATTATATTTTGTATTAGTATGAAAAAGTCCATTTGAAGCCCAGTGCCATACACAATGTACATATGCTAATAAAAAGATTGCTTAAAAGACATAAACAGTAGAAGAATAAATAAGCCTATCAATAAATGAACAGATGAACTGAAGAGACAATTCACAAGTGCACAACATATACAAAAAAATGTTCACCATCTTCAGCCATAGGGAAATGCAAAACTATGCTGTTTCCATCTTACACAAGTAAGAAAACTGTCATCAAGATAAATTTAAATCCTGGCAAGGATACAGGGAAAGCAGAAATTTTACACACTATTGGTGGGAATGTAAATATTATTGTCACTATGGAAATACATATGGCAATTCTTCTAAACCCTAAAAATAGAACTGCATATAATCTAGTTATACTTCTGCCAGGTATATACCAAAGGATTCAGCCATCTGCTGCAGCATTCTCCACCATAGCCAAGACAAGGAATGAACCCAGGTGCCCATCCAGATGAATAAAAGCCACTGGTACACACACTCCCCTAAGAAGAATGAGATCATGTCTTCAGAAAAGGGATGGAGCTAGAGAACACCCTATATGAGAAACACCATGAGAATAAATACCATATATTATCTCTCATGTGTGGAGCTGCATAGCAACAAAGAGACTTGAAAGTAAAAGGGGGTGAACAGTGTTAGCAGACCCATGTGGGCAATGGAGGTATAAATACAATTAAGTCCTTTACACGCATATCAAAATACATAGAGAGTATGATTACCATAGGTACATGTGTGTAAATCTTATATACATACTTTATAAATATACATGTTATGAAGCCTTTTGTTGCATATAATTAATATGTGCTAATAAAAGAGCTTTTAGAATCACATTTGCAAAAGCTATTTCTTGTACATTGTGTTGGCATGTTAAGTTGTTCTGATGGAAAACTTCCAAGAACTAATCATCAAAAATGACTGTGCTGGTTGGCAATGCCATTAGAAAGCTAATCAACAATCATTTCAATCCTCACTCAACACTCAAGACCCAACTCTGAAACCCTTGGATTCCTAGATTCTTGAGTGATTACCTAAAGTAGTGTGTTTCCTCAAAAGACCCAGCAAACATCATCTGTGGCATGCAGATTTTCCCTCATTTTCTTATACACCTTTGTGCTCACTGTAGGCAGCACAAGGTTTCTCACAGACCATCATACAATCTAGCTACTCCACCAATGTCTGAATGTCCAAAACTAAGTGAAATCAGTATATCACACAGATACCTGCCTCCCGTGTTTACAACAGCACTCATCATAATAGCTAAGATATAGGGACCAACCAAGTGGACCCCATGTTGCATGCAGTCACCTGGTCCAGTAGAGCAGAAGTAGTGGCAAGTCTATGGGACATCACTTTCATGTCTTGGTTTTCCATTTATACTTTCATTCCTCTCTAGAATTCATGATTCAACTTCTGATTAACAGCATTGTAAACTTGCCTCTGCCTCAGTTTTCACGGGAGGGGGGAATTAATGTGTTCTTCTTTAATTTAAAACCCTAATCAAAATGAGTATTTTTGACTGAAGGGGATTCACATCCCACAGTGAGGAGCAGATGACCTAGGTCTATTTCTCAAGAAATTTGTAAAGTTTGTACTGAATAAATTGAGTGATAATCCCAAGGGAAAAGAAGTTGCTGATAAGGGTCCAGAAGTGAAGATGTTGTCAAGAAGACCTTACTGTCTCACCTTACCTCCTGCACCAATAAACTGAGAAATGAGATTTAGTTGCTGTTGCATAATTTGTTCTGAATGCAATGATGTCATCACTGGGACTTGGACATTCCAAGAGCTTTATTTATTTATATTGCTATAAATGTGATGTGGGCTGCCATTGCCTAGAAGATAGTGGAATAGAGTGGTAAAGTCTGGGCTTCTCTTCCCTGCAGGTATTAAACTTTCCACCTTTTCATCTGATTTTTTCTTCAATAGTTTTCAAGGTATTTACTTAGTATCAATATTTCAAAACAAGGTTAAGACAGTGATGTGAAAGCCCACCCCCAACACACACACCATCTCCTTTGAGATGACTGTCCTGTCTGGTCCTGGATATTCTTCTGGCTTGGCTCTTGATTTTTCACCTAGTGCTGTGGGGGCCACTATGCTTAGAGAGTCCTACCTACAGAATAAAAGCTTGATTATTGTTGGTTTTTTTGTTCTGTAAACTCTTGATTCCTTCCTCCACTCAATCATAAAAGATAAAAATTTCCACAGTGCTCTAATTTAACTCATTTCTGTAAAAATTCTAATGCTTTTCAAAATCAACATATTCTTATTTTAACATAATTGCTCATATTTCTGGAGTCAAATATGGTATTTAAAACCTGTATGTAATATGTGATGATTGGGTCAATTTAATTCCAAATCCACTGTCTCAGATGTTTGTCATTTCCTTACCTTGTGAACATTCAACCAGTTACTGTCAACCACAAGTATCCAATCATGCCATAGGAGTTACTCGTCCTAACCCACTGCTGTACCCTCCTGTCTGTGAACAATTCACTCCTCCCCTCTCCCCTTACCCTTTACAAGCTCTGGGAAACACTCTTCAGAATCTTCCCTCTATGAGATCCATTTTTATTCCCATATAAATAAGAACACTCAGTATTGTTTTTGTGTGGCCCATTTCTCCCACCATAATAGCCTCCCATCCATGTTGCTGCAAATGACAGAATGTTTTGACAGCTGAGCCATAGTCCATGGTGTTTATAAACATCTTCTATATCAATGCATTTCTGGGTCGTGATTATTTCTGTACTTTGGTGATTATGATTAGTACTGCAATAAGCATGGGATGCAGGTGCCTCCGTGGCATACTGGTTCCTCTTCCTTTGGATATTTATCACATGGTGGGATAGCTGGATCATACAGAGGTGTTGAGAACCCTCAATACTGATTTCCAAATGCCTCCATTAGTTTGCATTTCCAAAACACTATGCCATCTTCCTCTTTTACCTGCAGTCTTGCCTTTTTGTGATGAAAATAGTGACTCTAACTAGGTGAGACTGTATCTCATTGTTAAGAAAAAAAGGCTCATTCTTGTCCTATGGCTAGAATGTTTCACAACAAGCTCTTCTGGCTTAAATCTTTACCACTCTCCACCCCCACACAATCAAATTCCCATGGGAATGGATGCCTTAGTTCCATTTTTTAAAAAATAAAAAAGAAACACCCATTCCCAGAACATGGCATTTTGAAGCATGTTCATGGTGAAGTGAATGTGGCTATGCCAGGTGTGTGGAGCACAATTTCAGACACATCATGTATGCAAAATTAACACTCTTGTCACCAACAGTGCAGGAGGCCTGAAGTTTGCAGACACCTATGAATTGTGTCTGTGGGGGATCCAGTAGCTTTTCACCTTTATATTTTTCAAATGGGTTCCTGGTGACAGAGAGATGGCTATGAAGATGTAGGGGAGCATGCTGAATTAGTGGGAGCACTTCTTCAGAAGCCATTGGGCCCTGCACAGGAGTGCTGGATGGAGCCTCTGTAGGAGAATCATCTCACACTGTCTGCATAGCTACCCTGTGCTGCTGGCAGCTGCTTCTAAGTGACTTTGTCACAGAACAATAAGACCCTTCACTGTGAAGTGTGTGTTTCCATAGACCATTGTGAGCTGTGAAGCCACCACAGGAAGTGGTGCAGGGCCACACCAGTGCTGGGTGCCCTGACTTGTGAGTTGTGAGATGCTTTATACTTGATGGTCGAAGTTTTACCTCTAGAAATTTAACTCCTTGAATTAAAACTATGTGTGGCTGAGGAGCCAGCTCAGTAGGGGAAGGGCTCACCATGCAGGTTCAAAGACCTGATTTTGGAGCTCCAGCCCTCATGTAAATAAAAAGCCCTGCACAGTGACAACTGCCTGAATCCCAGTGCTGAAAAGACTAAGACAAGATATCCCAGGGGCTTGCTTGCATCCCGGCCAGTCCAGCCAATCACAGCAAAGTCCCAGCTCAGAAAAAGGCAGGGAAGGGGGAGGTCTCAAAAAAAACGGTGGGGTCGGAAAGATGGCTCAGCTGATAAAGGTAGTTGGCTGCAAGCTTGCCTACTTTAGTCCACACCCTGAAACTACAAGGTAGGAGGTGAGAACTGGCATCCACAAATTGTACTCTGACCTATACGTATGCACACATAAAATAAATAAATATAATGAAAAATGGTAGAACCTGATTGAGGAACAAAATGACATTCATCCTTGGCTTCTAAGAGCCTGTGCACACACACAGAGAAAGCTGTGTGCTTTCTGCCTGCATTAATATTAACTAACCCCTGTTAGATCACATTTTACATGATATTTTAAAAATCATTTTATTATTTTATGTGAATGAGTATTTGCCTGCAGGTATGACTGCCAATAGAGTTCAGAAAAAATGTCAGATCTTCTGGATCTTCAACGACAGACAATGTAAGCCACTAAGAGGGTAGTGGGAGTTAAATAGGAGTGCTCTGGGAGAGAAGGCAGTGTTCTTAACCACTGAGCCATCCTTCTATCCTCACAGTTCAGAGAGTGCATTAAAAATAACCTGAGACACCAAACCATGGTGATGTATTAAGGAATGACAACATGGCATTTTCTCTTGGATTAATTTGACCAAGAGTGAGTCAAATGCATGGTCCCCTGGAGAAGGAGAAAGAGCCAAGATCTTCTGAGCAAATTGGGAGCACAGGGGGAGCAGGGAGGTCAGAGGAAGGGGTGGGGGAGAACATGAGGGAT